GACTAAAAATAGGCCCGGGCATTTTAGACTGAGCAGCCCAATCACATGCCCACTGGCAGGCCACACCCCTCACAACAGGGGGCGGAGCCAAACATAGAAGCGCAATCGAGGGGCAGGGTCGGCCACTAGTAAGTTCCGGAGGGCTACAGCTGACACACAAGCCTTGCTACAACCAATACACAAACCTTGCAACAATATAGGAAGCTTGCTATAGAGAATATCTGTAAAAAATTAGTCAAGGCAACTGGACATGCTGTATTTTACTTGAGGACGTTTCACTAGTCATCCAACCAGCTTTCTCATATCAGAAGTCACAGGGCCCTAGTCCTAGTTAAACTTTACTTGGCTTTACCTTTTTCATTCAGAAATGAAGGTGCCCATGGGTCCAGGAACAGTTGTACCCTCTACACCCCATCTAGTCACTCCCTAGTTCCAAGCTATCTAGAACCCTTTGTGGTGTTGACCTGTTTGTAGCAGACACTCCATACTGTGTGCACAGAACATGACTGAGATGGATGATAAAAGGTGTTTTTTGGTAGAGTGTTTAGACCTGCCGAATGCATTTACACAGGGAGATCCATGCTTTTTCAAGCACTAACCTCCCATGTTTACTATATAAGTAATATTAGGCACGATGACAGCAATGACATAATATTCTAAGGTATTACCTCCTCCACATACCAGTCACTGTTCTTCTGTGGCTGTCCCCTTTATATAGTGTACCTAATAAGTATACTGGTGATAAGCATACTGCAAGACAACAGTAGAGTGGTAATACACTGAAGCGGTATTTGCTGATAAGACACGACAGTCTAGCTCAGTGGCCCCGTCATGCCCTATGGAGTTGCTCTTTTTCTGCTCTTTTGTGTATATATTTTTGCCTAAAGCTGGCCATGCACTTTACATTTTTGGATTGATATCCCCATCCACTCTATGCGAGTCTTTTCTGTGATTTTTCTCCCAAAAGTTTTATTTCTGTAATGACAGCAGTGGGGGCAGCCACATACGCAGACATTGCATTTTAGTGCCAGGTCAACTTTACCAATGGCAGACACATTGACAATTCTTATGATATTAAATATGTATCAAATTTAATTATCGTAATTCATTTTGCAGGTATTTTAACTCAAAATAGAAACACATCTTTGAACTGGTCAGAGCACGTTTCACATCGGTTCTCCTGCACGGGAAACTATTTGTGAAAATAAATGTCTTCATTCTTTGCACATGACTTTGTATATGTAATTTGTTTTGCGATATTATGACTTTACACTGGCCTTTACACTGGCCACTGGCCACTGACATTGTTTAGACTTGTCTACAAGTTTTCAATCTCTATTCCCCCCCCTAGGTGGTGTCGCATAAAATCTGGAGGGCAGCGAAGGTTTTACAAATTTACCTGCTTAGCATATCACCAACTCTGATGCGTGACAGAAAGCACCACTTTCGCAATCACAGGTACAGTTCTTACCACCTTATTTTGGATCAGAACACTGAGAAAGTGTTTTTTAAACTTACCTTGGCTCATTTAATATTTACAGACAAAGCAAAGAAGTTTGTGCATAAAACTTATAATTCATTCTTATTGCTCCTGCTGTACCTGGAGATCTGTAATGGAAGCTTTAACGGATGTATCAATTCACATTCTCTGGTTATGGTTCATAAAGATTTCCCTGTTAATATAGACTCAAATATTGTGCATTTTAACATACCTCTTTTAACATAACATTAATCTGAAAAAAAATGGGTGTACTTATAAAACATTAATGTGAACATCTCAGTTTTGCATTCACACTGAAATATGGCCACTAGATGGAGCTGAGGAGCATATTTCCTATGCTTCCTGGCTCCATTTAGTGCTGTAATGACGTGCAAATCTAAGGGGTCAATTCACGAAGCGGCTGAAGGATCTGGCCGTAGCTTTGGCCGATCCTTCGGCTAGCTTTGGCCCCAGGACCCCTCCGGTTCAGTAGAATCGAAGGGGTGCTGTACGGGCTATTCACTATAGCCCGTACAGCTCCCGAACGTGGCTAAGCAGGGCACTGATCTCCAAACAGCAAACTCTCCCTGGCGCTCCGGGAGTCCCCCGCTCCCGGCCGCCAAGGAGAGAAACACTGCTGTTTCTTTTTTTTTTTATTCTGGCACGGGCCGTGTCAGAATAGAAAAAAAAAAAGAAAAAACGTTTGCCCATTGGAATGCATTGCTAGATTCCTATTGGCTATTTCAATTTGCAATAGCCAATAGTAAACTAGCATTGTACCCGCCCTCTGCTGCAGTTCTCCATCAGGTCCATCAGCAGAGGGCGGGTACAATGCTAGTTTACTATTGGCTATTGCAAATTGAAATAGCCAATAGATCTTGGGGCGGTGGCTACTGTACAACACACAAAGGGACCATGGTGAACAGAAGTAGCCACCCTCCAGAAGGAAGGACAGTGTCAGCACCAATGCAGAGATGATCTGAGGATCTACAACCGAGTGATACACAAATAAGATACATTTTTGTTAATAGTTAAGGTACTTGAATGCATTTTTAACACCTGAGTGTCACTGTAATAGACATCTCCCCAGCGGGACATGAACAGCAAAAAATAACCGGATAGGGGTTTTTATCCTTCGCTACTTTATCCCATTTTTAAAAAAAAGAACTGCACTATACACACAAGTTAAGACATGATAACAATGGAAAACAATGGAGAATAAAAGGAAGATGTAAACATTCAGGAAGCAGGGATTTTATCATTACATTTATTAGTATTTAATACCAGGATGTTTATTTGGACAATTATCTCTTTGAAATTAGGAACAGTTGGTAGCTATGATCTGCTGCCCATTGGAATGAGCATGGGGCATGCACATCTAAAGCAATGCCAAAGATGCCTTCTGTCCTATAATATAGCAGTAGGTTGTCACTCCCTCTCTATTCAGGGCCTTCTTTGTGTTTATTTGTATAGGCAACAAGTCATTTCAGGGAAGCCCTGGGCTATATTGACAGTTGGAGATCATTTAGGTACTGAGTTTGAATCAACCACATATAAGTAGGAGAATACACATTGGTATCCTTTTATCTAAATATTAGCTCTGGGACAGTGATGCCACTCACAGTGGGTTCAGCTTCACTGCCCTGAAGCTAGTATGCCGCTTGGAAGCTGGAGAATGACGGTTTTCACCTAAGGCTTCTTACGCAGGTGTTTTGCTATTTGCCAGTTCCCTTTAGAGGCTAAGAATACTTTTTGAACCATGATTCATGTTAGACCAATATTTAGGGTGCAACATGAAACATGGTCACGTCCCTAACCTCCCCACCCCCCTTCCCCAATTGACCTGAATCGTGGGGTAAGTCTCCCCACAGGCTGCTGTCATAAACTGAATTCAGCGCGGCTGTGCAAGGCTCTGCCCTCACAGCTGTGTTATCCATTCACAGATCCATTGACAGGATCTGTGAATGGAGAGACTACAAAGTCCCATCTGCCACTGCGGACTCCAAGTGCAGTGACATCATTATACTGCCTCACGTTCTGTAGCCGAATGTCCATACCTCAGTACAGACAGGGTGCTGAGAAAGAGTCTGCAGAAGCCAGAGCATTGTATCGATAATCCATTGATTGTGATTGCAATGCTTTGCAGACTCAAGGACAAAAAAAATAATAAATGCACATTTCTGCTTTTAATAATGTGTGTGCATTTATTTATTTATTTTCTTGCAAAAGCTGTACTGTGCCTTTATCTATGGAGCTTCTGTACTTGCGGAGCCCCAAAGTCATATCCAGAGGCACATATAATAAACAGTAGTAAAAAAAATTTGCGCTAATGGAAAAAAATATATACTGTAGATGACTGGACAAAACGGACTAGTTAGGAGCTGCTACACTAAGGTTGTTGGACCTTAATAATCAGCAAAGCAAAAAGGTACAGCGCTCATAACCTTTCCGTGAGAGACACTCAAAGTGCTTTAGAAATGTAAAAATAAATAAATATAGATATAAATAACTGTGCAAAAAATAGCAATAATTATAACATGATTATGTGAATAATGAATATAAATATATGAATAAATAAATATAAAAACATCCATAAAATAGTCCAATAAAAAGTGACAAATTGATATAAAGTGAAAAGTGAAAAAATAAATAAATATATAAGTTGCTTATTCAGTTCAAATCCAGAAAAAAAGTCCAAATAAAAGTGACAAATTGTTTCAAAGTGAAAATAAAGTGAAAAAGAAAGTTTCTTTCCAAGTTTTGTAAAGTGCAAATCCAGCAATCCAGAAACTGCAAATGTTGCTGCATTCATTGACAACCAACACAGGACAATACTTTCCTGCTACATTCTTGTTAATAACGCCATCTAGTGGCAATTAAAAAGATCACAATTTCTAAGAGTCCTGTACTGAAAGGGTATGGAGTTTGCCATTGCTGACCCCCGTTTGAAAATGTTAGTTGCCCAGCTGTCAGGCTGATCCAATAGGTGACGTTATTTGGCTTCACCTTCCAGAACAAGTATACATCTTAGGAGTTCTGACTTTTTAATCTGCATGCTTGTTCCAGATCAGTGTCTACAATTATTGACCGAGAAGAGAAAATAATCTGGGCTCTAACCATGTATCACAAGATATAGGCTGCTCACATGTGCAAGGCATGATGGCCCAAACAGAGCCTAAAACGTGAGCACTCTGTTTCAATCTGGACCAGCAAAGCATTATACTGGAGATGATAGATTTTTCCTCATATAAGGCTTTGCCACTCTGGATTAGAGTAGAGTTCTTACCTTTTGCTGCACAGTACTATATTGTGTTTTTGAAAATATTGAAGCCAGAGACAGAAAACTAGCATTTAGATTGACATGTTGTCGGGTTACTTGTTAATATCATGCCAGCTATGTAACTTGTGCACAATATATATTGCTTTACAGGTTTATGTCATTGATGTATTTTGCAAATACCTATACAGATGTTTTGTCAATTTGTTTCACTTTTACTTCACAGGCAATGCTGCTCTGGAAAGGAGTTGGTGGACTGGCTGATTGCCATCGGCTCTGGCCTCCAGTCACGTACCCAGGCTGTGGGCATATGGCAGGTGCTGCTAGATGAAGGGGCCCTTGTGCATGGTAAGCAACCAAAATGCTAAATACAATTTTAGATACAATTTTAGAAAGCACTAACATGACATGGATGCTGAGTGCTAAGCACATGAAGTGTGAAGATCTTAGGTTTGTATCCTAAAAGGAACACTAAATAGAAATTGTATATTGTTGTTCCATTTGTGCAGGTTTTATTTGCTCCAGTTCCCTCCTGCAATCCAACAACATATTGGTAGATGAATTAGCTTATACATCAGCGGTGGGCAACTCCATCCCTTAAGCTGTGGTGAAACTACAAATACCATCATGCATCTGCTACTGGGAGTCATGTCTGTGGCTGTCAGAGTCTTGCAATTAGGGCCGCAACCAACTAATTGATTAATCAATAATAATTGATAATGAGAATGGCTGCCAACTATTCTCATTATCGATTAGTTGGTTGGATCCCCCTAGCTCTCTCCTCCAAACTGGGAGGAGGGCACAGCAAGCAGTGGGCGGGTGCAGTAGCCAGCCTGCCTGCTATTGCAATTTCAATGGCATCCCAAATGCAACTCCAACCCACAGTGTGATCACCCGCACTGGAATGCTTAGTCCCGCAATGCCGTACTTTACAGTGCATTGCAATTGTAAAAAATGATGCATGCAGTTTTATTCTGAAGTGAACCTTATGTTTGTAACACTGCATTTGTGTATTTTATTTTAAATTGAGGATTGTATTTATGTAATTTTTTAACCGATTAATCGAAAAAATAATCGGCCAACTAATCGATTATGAAAATCATTATTAGTTGCAGCCCTACTTGCAATGCCTCATGGTACTTGTAGTTCTACAACAGCTGGGGGGCCATAGTTGCCTGCCCCTGTTCTACCTAAACTGAGCCTAGGGTGTGTATCAGGTACATAAGATTTTAGTTTGTTATCAGAGCCTGTTACGATTGGGATTTCTGTTTAAAGTGCATTGGCATATGTTGGCACCATGGAAATTAATTTAAAAAAATGATAACGTTAATCGCTGCCTTAAGTAAATCAAAGAATTGTGGGTTTTTTTTCCAGGCAGGTGGGAATTTTCATATTGCGCGGGTGGGGGAGGAGAGTTTAAGGGGAGTCAAGTTTTTATTTTGGGGTGAAGATTTGCTTTACGGGCCATGACACACTAGTGACCACTATTCAGGGGAGAGAAGTACTCATCGTGCATAGCTCCCTGACTGGCTTTGGTGTGTTAGTTACAGTTGGCTCCGTGTGGTAAAAAAACTTTGTGATGGTTGCAGAAGATATCTCAGATATCTGGATGGTAAAGCTCCTGCATATATATTTGCAAACGTTGTTAGCATTAAATCCTCTTATGGACCTGTTTGTGTTTTAGGTTTATTGGTCCTTTAAAATTAATTATTTACATAACCTGCTGAGTTAACTATCACTCCTTAAACCTCTTGAAAATGTAAAAGATAACCTCTTAATCTGATGGTGAAAGGTTCTCATCAGTAACTTAATAGGTTTAAATATATCCAAGGTCTGTATAAAGGACTGTACAAAGGACAAGGGCATATCCACTGCATATGGAAGGAAGATTGGCTGCTTTTGTTTTCTTTTCCCTGATCTTCCCCTGGCGATCCTGCCAGTAACACACTCCCTGTCCTAGGGTGGCAACCCTCACTGCACTGTGTCTATGGACAGCAGCATTGTCACGCTAGGGTATCATCAAAAAAACAACCCCCCCCCCCTCTTTTTTTCCTCCATAAGGCCCCGTTCCCACTGCGCGATATGCAAATCGCGCGTTTGTCGCGCAATTTGCATATTGCGCGACATCGCGAGATTTGCCGCGCGATGTCGCGTTCAAGCTTGCATTGAGCAAGCTTGAATCGCGGCTAAATCCGCTCAAAAAAGGGTCCTGCTGTAGCGACACACGACCTGCTACAGCAGGACCCTTTGCCCCATTGGATTGCATTGGAGCGCGATATCGCGCGGTAATTTGCCGCGATAAATCGCTCAATGTGAACGGGGTCTAACATAGTGGGCAGGGGTTCTGTAGAGATAGATAAAGATAACTGGAAACCATGCAAAGCATAACAACGCAGCACAGGAAGAGAGCACAAAAAGATTTCTGGCAAGATCAGAAAGTAATTTTTGGAACAGATATAACAAAACACTTCAACAGTATATTTGATAAAACAAAGGGAAACGAATAAGAGACATTTATGGCTGGGGCTTCCATACACTTTAAAGTGACACTAAACCCAGGTGTTCAACACTAAAAATGCACACAGGGACCTTACCCCTTATGCCATCAATGTCAATGGCACCGATTCAAGCCACCCGCCCGCAGTGTGATTGCCCACACCATTGACAGGAGGGGCACCACCAGGCCCCGTGCCGCCCCAGAACGCGGGAGCCTTTAATTATGCAATCCAGTGTGTTCCGGCCACTAACAGTGCTGGAACACACTGCATGTGGAGTGAACCGGCCCTCAAGTTGTAGAATTTCCATACTTCAAGGTAGTAATAGAAAAATCAATAGTGGAATTTAAAAAAAGGATTGGATGATTTCCAGTCCAGAATCTGGAGCAGTGTAATAGCAACCAATCAGCTTTTCTCTTCAGTTTGTTCACTTAGGATTTGAAAATGAAAGTTAGAAGCTGATTGGTTGCCCTGGGTAACTGCTTCAGATTCTGTCTGTCCCAGTTTTGATAAATTCCCCTCATTGTGTTTAATGTGTGTTGTAGTGCCTTTTAATTCACATTAAGGGGGATTTTATCATCTCACTTTCATTTTCAAAGCTTTACTGAACAAACTTAAGATAGAAGCTGATTGGTTACTATGGGCAACTGCTCCATATTCGGTTTGCTCCAGTTTTGGTAAATTCCCCGCCATGTGTTTTTGTTTTTTGAAGAGCTCCATGCAGTTGACTTGAATAGCAAACTGCAGGCCATTGAACAAAAAGCACATTAGGGAGCATAGTAATGAGAAAATGCCCCAAAACAAGGTCCTTGTACTTTGTCTGTGTGTATATGTCAGTTCATCCAATAACAAAACAGTCCCTAGAGGTTTTCTGGTAGACTTTGTGTCGGCAGCACAAGCTACCTTTCGCTTCCAAGAATTTGAAGACGGATCACAATGTTTACAGGAGTGAATCAGTATCTCTGGTCCGTGAGTGACGTCTATAAAACTAGAACTGCTCATGGAAGGATGGAAGGGAATGTCCTAGTGTGTAATTATTCTGATATCTTTTTAGACCTTTTTAATATACTGTATACGTAAAGACATGCACTTTAAGAAGTAGCAGTTATTGTTCTTTTGAATTTTTAGAAAAATATAGTAGTTGGAATTCCCCTGTGAAACATGTATAGTGTTGATTATTATTTATAAGACTAATTTCAGAAAAGTTTAAAAACATTTTAAGTAGTGTACTACTATGCTGTGAATAACCTTTGTAGTAATGTGGGTAACACAATATCAGGTATATAAACACACATCTGAATTTCTATTTGCTGGATTAGTCAACAAGTCCAAAACTATAGATGAGCTTTCCTATTAGAAAGGCCAGTAATCTTTGTAGAGCCCATGGACTGTATCTGTCCCTTTGTCTGTCCCTGTCTGGCACACGGTCCATACACGGACGGATCGCTGACCTGCACTCAGTTACAGCTGGCTGACAGTGGATATGCCGACCTCCAGGGCCAGTGCATCCACTGCAAGCTATAGCCCAGCTCAGGTCAGCGCTCAGTCCATGTCCGGACCACAGTTCTCTTCAGTTATTTGTTCGCTAGGACCGCTGATGTCCTAGCAACCAATGACGTCAGATGTCCTCCTCTGCAATCATTGTTTGCTAGGACCGCCAGGTGGTCTTAGCAACCAATGATCTCATATGTGTTCCCCACCCCCAGCATTACAGGAGGACAGAAGATGATCTTCTTTCGTCCTCTTCTGCAGCCTGCTCCACCTCCCAGCTCCCACCTTTGGCTATCAAAAAAAAGAAGAAAATAAGGTACACTATGTGCCACGATGTGGGGAGAATAAGGCTTCATTCAGGGCCCGTTCATACCTATGCCGTGTGATGCACCTACTGTACTTTACAGTGCAGCAGCTGCATTGTGTTGCCGTTCATTCGAATGGCACTCCAAAACTTACCTCCTGGCTACATTGCGATCGTGTCACAATGTGCAGCACCACGAAATTGTGCATTGTTGTGCAGTGCAGTTGAAAAAAGTAGTGCATGTACTACGTTTGACCCTTCACAACAGTTCCAGTTTCACATGTGGCCCCTTAAGAAAATGAATTGCACAATCCTGCTCTATAGAGTAGCATGAATGCACCTTGTATTAAATATACATTTACAAAATAAAGATTTCATACAAGCAGTTAAAAAATGATATGAAATTTCAGTTAATAAAGGTAAAATTAAATTGAACAAATATTATTATAGGTGCAGGTTAAAGCATTATTTGTATCTGGCAAAAAAGGGTTTACATACTATATATACACTTACACTGATGTGGTAAAATATGGGGGTGAAAGATGATAAATGTCTAATTTTGTGTATTGAAGAAAATGTTGATATGTGAACCTTTCCATTCTCCAAGCGCCAAGCTTGTAAAAAATGGGGAACCTTGATGATCAACTCCATCAGCTGTTTTAAATTCTTCTTTCCCCACAACATGTCTAAGCAAAGTTGGATACTAATATACAAATTTCAACCCTTTGTGGAGAGTCAAGTCAAGGCCTAGTCTTCATTTCCAAACACTCTTCCTGGCCACTGACATATGCAGAGAGCAGTTCCACAGGGAAGTTACAGGAAGGGCAGAGGTGCCTTTAATGTGTGGACTGTGATTGACAACATGGCTTCACCCTCTCCATGCGGAACAGGAGGCAAGATGGCGGCTCCCAATGGGGAAATATCTGGGTCTCTAGGACAGGCCGAAGCAGAGTTTTAGTTCCCATAATACGGAGCAGTGAGCTGTTTATAAGACATTATATTCATATTTGGCAGAGTTTTGTGTAAACATTGGCAAAGGGAAGGGTTGCCTTAAGTTTAATAAGAATATCCTTCCTGGCTGCAGCCATTAGATTATTTTAGCCTTCCGCCTTGTGTTTAACCATTTTGTAGACAACACATTTTCCATGCCCACAGCCAAGGGAATTCTGAGAGATGTGTAATAAAAATGACAGTTTGTAATCTTGAGAGTCATAGCAACACCAGTAATATATTTCACTGTGTACAAGGTGGCATACATCCAAATTGTATGTTTATGAAAATAGTATTTGTTCTTATCGATTCCTTTGATTCTGTGCATCAATTCCTTTGTTTTTGCAGTATTTCACACCTGCTATCTAGGCTTTGCTAGGGAACTTTAGCATGAGAGAGGGAACAATAAAGAGATTGCAATGACCTTCATGCACAGGTGCTGGTAGATGGGATAGCAAGAGGATTGTCATGTGTCACTTTGAGATGCCTCCGTTTTATGCTGATCACATGAGGGTCTGACGTGGAATTATGTGGAGGAGTGCAGAGGGTTTGATATTAGGAAGGGTAAAGAGGAGACGATTGCAGTGTGTTTTTTTTGTTTTCCTTTTCCTGACAAATACTCATAACAGAGACATCAGGGATCTATTAGACTCTTGGTGCCTCCCCTAGGGCAACCAGATACATATCAGGGACAGAAAGCCTTACAGATGCCAGGGAGCTCAGGAGTAAAGCTTGCTTATGCTGGTGGCCTGCAGGATGTAGCCCAGGGGACCCAGTGGCAACACTCCTGTCATGGATAGAAAGCCGCTGTTAGACTTCCACACTTGTGGGATAGTGCTGGAGAAGAGGGGGAATATGTCATAGTGTGAAGGTGGCGAATCCAGTGGTGAAGGTGGGAAGTTAACCCAGTGTTATTGGGCATCGGGGTGGAAGTGGTGGAGAGTGTAAGAGCAGCTAAGGGTTTGATACAGAATCCTCCAGTGGTGAAATGGCAGTAGGCAATAACTATTATATTAATAAAGATTAGTATGAAATTATCTCACATTTAAATTCTCTGATTGTGTTCAGACTTATAGACCCGTGGCTGCCCTGATGATGATGATAATGATGAAAAAGTGTGGTGGATTAATCACATATTTTACCCCATTTTTGTTGACAGTACTGCATATCTACTGAATGTATCAGATTTTCTGCATCTGTCTTACATTTCTGAGATCTTCCCTAAAATTGTTCCTCATTTTTAAGACTTACCAGTTCCATAGATTTCCTTTCCTGCATTTGATCATTCCCCTATGATATATTAGTGATAATCTGAGCTATGTTATTCAAGCATTTAAAATGCAAAAAAGTCTTGGCATAGGTGGGTATATGAGATTCTTTTGTCTGGAAGTGTATTATTTTTCTTATTCTGTAAAAATAACCAAGAGGTGAGTAGTGGGACATAACATTTTGAGAATGTAAACTGTCATCAGAATGGGAAGGTGGGAGGGGTGGATTAATCATGTTTGGCTGTCTGTGCAGCTCTTACATATAAACATACCCTAATTAACAGATTAATCCATGTTGTTGCAGTGAGACAAGAACAGAATTTCCAAGACAAAGATTCCCAGTTTTACAGATTCTTCAAAGTGCATCATAACCTAGAGCCAGCACTAGGTGACCGAGATACAGATGATGAACTTCAGGAGTCTCTAGTGTTCCTGGCACAATTAGGGCCGGCAGCATTACTTACTATGATTCTTCGAAAACCGTGAGTTTGCTTTTTTATTTCTATGTGTAGCTAAGGAATGTATATAAAATGGGGTTCATTTAGCAGTGGACATGGACTGTGTTTAGAGACCATCACTTCTGTCTCACCATGTTTATTGGAAAAGTTCACCTTTCAGACCATGTTTCATGTTATGTTCCCCTACCCCTTTTACCTGGACTACAAGTTCCATCCGCCACCATGATGTCCTCACACTTGTAGTCCATTGATTATTTCCTTCAGCCCCAGAACCTATGATCCATACACTGGAGCAGGGAGAATAGTCTACAGGATCCAGAACATTACACTCGTGATCCACTGATTGCAGTTGCTAGGCTCAAGGCTCAACTGCAAGAAATTAATACATGCACATTTTTTTCTTTCATTCATGTGTGTGCATGTATTCTTTTTTTCCCCCCAAAAGGTGGACCATGCCTTTAATTCATCTTGCATTACGTCCTACTTGCAATGTCTATTTCCACATGAGCTCTCCTAAATGGTCTTGATGAGATGTGATAAGCTATGCATTCAATAAAAGTAGTTGTATTTATTTTTTAACACAGCTAACTTATCGTAATATTAGCCTCCTGTAATCCTCTGTATATCAACACGCAACACTGAGAGAAACAATGAGCTGAGGGATTACTCTGTGCATCTACTGCTTCATTCAAAATGCTTAGAATAGGCTACATTGGATAGCTTAGTGTTAAGGAGTTTCATTTCTAAGGAGAAATTCATTATTACTGTAAATGATTATGCCTATTGATGGGTCATTTTTTATCGTTTACAGCCCATGTCAGCGTACAGAAGAAGAGCTGGAGGTCATCTTTGAAGAGCTTTTACATATTAAAGCAGTCTCTCACCTTTCCAACTCGGTCAGTAAATTTGTATATATTTCATTAAAACCTTTGATGTCTTAACTGCTAAGCTGTATTTCCATATACAGTGTATATATACAGTGTATGTGTATATATATATATATATATATATATACATACATGTACAAACACATACATACACACACAGATGGCCCCCAGTTGAGAACGGTTTAATTTGCACTGATTCAAAATAGTACCCTTTTCTGGGAGTGTTGTTAATGGAAACCAAATATATAATGTATGTCAATGGGTATCACAGGCTCTCATGTGTCACAGGCTCTGCAAGCCTCCTTGGCTGTCTTCCATGTGCCTCCAGCACACACAGCCACCTGGCTCCCCTCTGACTTCTGGGTGGAGTCCTCCTGATTCCTAAATACCTCTGTTCCTTTTCCCAGCTGGAGCCCTCGCGTGTCTGCAGCCCACACCACACCAACTCCCCCCCTTGAGCTTTGGTCTGGGGTCTTAATGAGGCTGCTCTCAGCCACCTTATCACCGGCAACACCTGACCTCAGGACTGGAGATTTTATCCCACACAGAACTCTCCAAAGCTCCAGATCCCAGCTCCATTCGGAAGAAACTGAAAGGCCAGCTTCTTCCCTGAACATCTATTTAATATTCTGGAACCTCTCAGCCCCTCTGGCTGAGAGTCCTGGGTGTCTGTGTTGCCAGCATCTTCCGTGGCACTGCCACACACTGCCACAATATATATATGTGTATATATATATATATATATATATTTCCATAGGAAATTCATGTATGTAAAGGTCTACATTAAGAAGAAAAAAAGAGTATTGGTTGCCGCCATACCCCTTAGCTAGAATACCAAAACCCAGACCTCAGGTGCAGAACAGCCTGGATTTCCACTGCGTTGGGCAGTGTTTATATACAATGTTCATCCTGGTGCCTGTGTTGCACTGTGAAGACAAAACTATTTTCTGTATAGAGATGAATGGTAGAGCTGAGTTGGGCATTGACATGCCCTGTCTTACTTTTATACTATCTTCAGATTTTTTTTTATAGATGTGGTTGAAATTGGGCTTTGGGCCTGTTGAGTGTGAGTTTAGGACTATAAAGAGTAATACAGGTGTGAGACTTCAGTTAGACTTTAATCTGCCACACAATACAAGTGTAGAGCTGCATAATTTTACTGTACTAAACCTTTAGGTTTCATTAACACTTGCAGTGTGCGTGAACGCATGGCACATAAATGTTGCCTTTTATGAATTATGCAATAAAATTCATGTTCTTTTCCAGGTAAAAAAAGAATTAGCATCCGTGTTAGTATTTGAATCTCATGCCAAAGCAGGAACAGTGTGTGAGTATTGGATCGATTGAAACATATGCACATACATCTGCAACTAGGGAACTTTCACTTAGGTTTCAATTTCTCATCTAAATAAGTTAAGAATGGGCACAGACATGCAGTGTAACAACTGATTTATTGTTATAAGCAATAAAACAATGATAAAGGGTTATAATCAAATAATAAACATTCCTAGATATCCTTTTTCTTTTAGTAAGGTAAATATCAAATTTTGCAAGTGATTATTTGGTATTTTTATTTCAAGCCACCGGAAGGAGCTTTTTTTTAGGAGAGTCTTACCTACTTAGCTGAAAATTGTCTGTTGTTTACATAGCTCTATATCTGAAGCTGGACACACAACTGAATCAGAGCATCAAGTGATCCTTTCATCCCTCCTCCCTTCCTGTCTCCATACTGAATTTCAATCACAGACAGAGAGTCTGAAGGGAAACAGCTTGTCCCATGCTCTCACTTTAGAGGGCCGTTAATGCTCTGTTATCGGTATTATGGCAAGATCGTGCGGTCAGGAGGGGCAGGTGAGGCAGAGCCTCACCTGGTATTATGGAGGAAAAAACTGTCAGCTTCAAGTCTGACAGCTTTGTGTCCATTCAGAGTGGCTTATAACAGGTTACACAGCAGGAAAAGCCTCCCCGCTGTGTAACCTGTTAATTACAGGCGGCACTGCATCCGGCTTATGACAGCTAAGTTAGGTTACACAGCAGCGGACTTCCCCACTGCTTGTGTAACCTAACTTGGTGAGACCAGAGCTGCAACAGCCTCTAATCTATGTTAGAGGCTTGAGCTCTGTGGGTGGTTTGGACCAATGGCAAAGCGCCATATAAGCGTGATTTCGATGCCTCACCAGTGACGAGTAAGTGTGGGACAGGGAGGCTCCCCCTTGTCTCCTCCCGACCTCCTCCACACATGGGTCGGCGGGCTGGGTCACTGTGTTATGGGTGTACCCTTTAAAATGGTTATTTATTAAAAAAAAAGATTTTATAGAAATAGTAAAACAAAAGAGATATAAAAACATCAGATTAAAAACGTATTAACTTTAAAAACAGGATACAATTGACCCAAAACCATTATTATTACCCTTATAAATCAGGATTAGTGTCAAGTATAGAATGTTTAACAATTTCTTTTATTGCCCTTTTGGTTTTTATTTTTGTAGTATTTAGCCAAGGTGATAAAGGTACTTCATGGTACATAATCTGGAAGGGATCAGTGAATGTGGTAACTCATGGCAAGGTGAGTCCAGTTTCTACACAATTTTTTATGTGTTTAATTTTTTATTTTTTAACCATCAGACTGCAATAAACTATGTAAGACTGAATTCTGAATGCTTGCTGCGTGTTTCAACATATCATTGTTTTTATACTATACGTTCTTATTCAGTAAAGTGCAAAAAGCCTAATGATTCAGTGTGGTTGAGATTGGGCTTTATGCCTGTCGAGCGTAAGTATAGGACTAAAAAGAGACATCAGAAAGGTGTTAATATTAAAAATGTGCGTTTCTCTTGTCTTTGAATTACTCTGTTAGGTATTGACTGAGCCCTTATGCCATTAAAAATCTGTGTCATTTGTGATAAAAACTGTAAGAAGTTGCCCAATATTAGCAGCATGCTGGATAGTGGGGATGCTGGTCTCACATAGAGCTTAGTACTCTTACAAGCCCCCTGCACAGTTCACCAATCAAAAACACTGCTTAGGGAGCATAATCATTAATTGGGGTAGTGTCCAGAGCATAGGGCATTTTGGGATGCTGGGGACCCAGGCTGTCGCATTCTGTGAGAGCAGTGCTCCAGCTCTCCAGTGTGCTACTGGCACAGGGCAGCTTCTTACAGCTGTAATCATGAATAAAAGAAAGAAAACCAAACTATATTATTTACTTGTTATGCAGCGTGACTGCATAACACATAAAAAGCAAGACTTAATCTAGCATGTGTTCTGCTTAGTCTCACATTGATGATTCTTAAATAGGGTTTGGTTACCACGCTTCATGAAGGAGATGACTTTGGACAGCTAGCTTTAGTGAATGATGCTCCAAGGGCTGCTACCATTGTTTCTCGAGAAGACAACTGTCACTTTCTGAGAGTGGATAAGCATGACTTCAATTGCATACTTCGGGTCAGTACATATATAAATAATATATAATCACATATATAATAAATGTATGGAATGCATTTTATAGTACTGCTGATCTATTGATCTATCTTTTCTTTTCTTTTCTTTCTTTCTTTCTTTCTTTCTTTCTTTCTTTCTTTCTTTCTTTCTTTCTTTCTTTCTTTCTTTCTTTCTTTCTTTCTTTCTTTCTTTCTTTCTCATTATTTCTTAAACTGTGGGTCAGAACCCAAATTGGGTCACAGACATGTTTAGGTTGGGTCACCACTTGACTTTTGTGTCTAAGCGGCAAAAATGAGCAGATCAATAGAGAGTGATAGCACACCATGAATGACAGCACACAAATGAACATGGAGCTATAGCACATGCCATGCAGGGAGCAACTACCCAGACAAGATTGTGCAGTAAGAACATGAATAAAATACAACGCTAGTTGGAAATGTCTACTACTAAAACAAAAGAAATCCCTTAAAATTAAATTTAACAAACTAGAAGGGCATTTTTATAGCAAACACATACTGCACTTAAACAAATCCAAGAATTCTTCAATGGTAAGACAAAAAGCTTCAAACAGTGTTGCGACTGTCCCTTGAGGCAGAATCCGCTAGAAAAACAGTAGCTGTGGGTAGCTATCTAGCCTATCTAGCATCATACCATCAGTTAGGCAATGGTCTGCACTGGTTCCCATGTTAAGTCCTTTGTGTGTGATTTTATAATTACACAGCCATCGTTATTTGTCTTTGTATGGTTTTTCTTGACATTTTGCTAAACATTTCCTTATTTGGGTCCTCAGATGAAAAAGTTTAAGAACCACTGATCTATCTATCTATCTATCTATCTATCTATCTATCTATCTATCTATCTATCTATCTATCTATCTATCTATCTATCTATCTATCTATCTTTATCAACTTGCCTTCAGGCTTATCTGTTAAACCAGCTTAATATATATTATACAAGTTCATACATAAACCTGCAACCTGTCTCTTCAGGATGTTGAGGCTAACACCGTCCGTCTAAAGGAACATGGCAAGGTGGTGTTGGTGCTGGAAAAAAATCTGCAGTCATCTGGAAACAATTTGCAAACAGCAGTACCCAGCAGTCACAAGTGAGTGCAACTGATGGCAATATGTTAGCTGAGATGGTATGCACCAATAGTTAATTTAACTTTTAATAAAAAAGTTATGACCATTTATCTTTTGGCTATAGTTAGAAGAGTTAAAAATATGCAAAGGATAATCATATATCACATTATCCACCAGTTTGGTGCCATTAATAGCTAATGAATGTGAACACCCCAACATAAAGAAATAATCAGCTTATCTTAGAGCCCATGTAGATTTTAGTACAAATGATAAGAAGATCAAATGTAATATGAGAGAAAGTTAATGTCATAAAATCTACTTATAATTGGATGGATAACAGAGGGATTAAGATAGTTGGATATCCGGAACAATAATCTGAGAATGTTGAGCCATTTGCTTAACATAGAACCCAATAAGTATCTCTTAAAATATATTTTGATGTATTGTGTAACTATATTGTCGTATACGGTAATCAATTAAACAATGTACAATGAAAAATAATTTTATGATGTTATTGAGTGAAAACCTTCTTTTGTAAGTATTAAATGGATGCCCCCATTACCTATACATTAAAGCACATTTGAAGCCTCCATATTTATTACTGCAATACAGTCAGGCTGCATATAGAGTAATAAATATCCCCTGCTTATGTATTTCTACATAAAAAATATTGCAGCAAGGGTTAAAATACCCCGTAGTGGCAGCACTCTGGACAGTTGAACCGCAGTTCTCAAACATGAACATCAGTCCCGGTCTCCAGCGCTCTGGCAGTCCTACTGCGCACTGCTCCAATCAACAGAACTCTAGCTCCCTCAGCAGTGCGGTCAGTTGGAGCAGTGTGCAGAGGGGAGTGTTAGACCACTGGAGACCCTGGTCGCTGCTTACATTTGAGAGCAGTGGTCTGACTCTCCAGTGTGCTGCCAGTACAGTAATAAAAAGAGTCTTCAAATGGGATTGATAGTAAGACCTCAGTTGTCCAAAGTGCATTTAATACCAGAGCTGGATGCTTCCATATTGTTGGTCAGTTAGCTGTCAAACTAAAACAGTGGCACACACAGTTATTTGGGTAGCATCCGGCAGTCTGACTTTGTACCACACCATAGGCCCAAAGCCCAACAAATTAAGTGAATTGATGCTCCATCTGAACAATCACTATTTATGCTTAGTCCCTGTGTACCTTTTTTCACAAGTAGTACTTATAAAATGTCCTAAGTTGGGAAACGTTTTAAGTAAACTGCAAAATAGACTTCCAGACAAATGTGAAAACCTAAATTCTTTGTGGTGCTACCACAAGACATGCATTGCCAGATGTTTGTGCTCTCTCTAATGAGTGGTGGGCCTCTTTTTTTTCTGCTGCATAGCCACATGAGAGTACTAAGAACAGGAGCTATCACAGAACACCATCCAGTAGGTGTCTGTACCACTGTGCAGTTGATAATGAAATTTATAATTAGCTTAAAACTACTTGGGGCCGTGGCAAAGGCTGCTTTGTCTTCTATTTTGCACAATTGAAAAGCAACCCTTTGTGCATAGCAAAAATCTTATGTTTCCATTTTCACATTTCCTTTTGTGAGTCAAAATGAAGCTTTCTATCAGATTTCCCTGTCAACTTATAAGGTTTGGAATATCGATGATCTGAATAACGCCACCCTAATTTTCACTACTGTGTACTGTTGTAGAATATTGTTGTCAAAAATAATTTTACTGAGCTCTATCACTGTGCACCTTCATTGTATTAGCGGTGTAGCACCCTGTAAGGAGGAGTGCTATAACATTTAGTTATTGTCAGATTGTAAGCAGTCTGATGCTGGTCTGTAGTCTATGTTCATTTGGTTTCCCCTAATCAGTCTGTCATCATTTGTATCTGTCTGCTGCTGGGTGTACCCTGGTCCCAGAGCAGAGCAACCAATGAGGGACTGTAATGAGTAGGCATGTCTTCCCCACCAATCACTGTGAGGTTAATGGCCAGTGGTGCTTGCTGGGGGAGGAGATAAATACTTGAGGGGGGACCATGTAATCTCTCTCTTCCTCCCGCGGGCCCTGCCTGGGGGGGAGGCTGCTATGGACTGTCTGAGATGGCTAGGCCTGAAGACTGGGGACTAGCCATGTGCTTACACTGAGGCCTGAGTCTGGAGGTCCTGTGATTACTACTGATCACAGGGATGAACATGAGTGGTGACTTTTACCTCAAGTACTGCTGTGCCTGGTGTTATTCATGGTGTGAATTGAGACAGTTACTACACCCTGCCAATTAAAGGAGTCTACATCAGCCTGGATGATCCTAACCCTCAACCTCTCTCCCTGAAGTTCCTCAATACATTTTCTCAGCATCATATCTATAGTCTGGACCTCGCTTTTATCAGTCAACATAGAGGGCGGTAAGTGCTAATGGGCGAAGTGAATGAAAATATCCCGAAACATGAAGATTACTAAGCTACAGTAACCCATAGCAACTGTCCCTAGGACCGAGGTATTTTTCATCTCAAGGTGTGCTGTGTATTTATGATTGAGGTTCATCACGGAGGACACACAAGGAGACCCAATGCTTTATTACTGTATGCTGCTTCTTAGGGGGTGCACTACAGCTGTATACCGTTAACATTAATGTGTAAAGTATAATGGAGAACTATGTACCTTTTTTTATACTAGGTACACAGTTATGTCTGGTACAGCTGACAAAATTCTGGAACATTTGCTGGAGACTATGAGGCTGGATTCAACACTCAATAATCCTGAAGGTAACTATGTCTATCTAGGTAATGGACAGCGCTGCTGATGACCTATCCTTTTGAAAAGACTAGTGCCCTGGCTGTCATGCTAATCTAATGGGTCTAATATCCTTAGTTTCTGATAAGTATGGATCAGGAGTTCTGTCTTTGCTCTGACTTTTTTCAGAAAGTTATTAGATAAGCAGTCAGGTGACTAGCATTTCCAGAAGGAGGTCAGCAATCACATTTCTACAAACACAGGTTTGCTTTAAAATTGTCCTGAACTCAAAAAGTAGAAATTTGCTATGTTATAGGGAACATCTAGAAATGTTAATTTTGCCTAAGCAGCACCCTGAAAAATGTACTTTGTATATTGAATTTCTCCTGAATAATATCAGTGCATTTCCTGTGTTTGGGCACCTCAGTGCCTTGAGCCTCACAGCTGTACATTTTCAGTGTGAGATGATCTAAGGCACCACTGCCTCTGACTGCTGGTCTCAGAAGATTTGGAGTGTGATGTAGTGACGTCACTACTTTACTGCTCAGTGATCTCCTTGCTGGAGAGAAAGGTTACCTGGGAACCTGCAGTACAAGGACCTCCCTGCTTCAGCATCATTCATTATTAAAATCTCTGCTTTCTCCACCTCTCCTGTTGCTTCCTAAATATTCCACCACCAGTAATCAGATCTCCAGTTATCAGAATGCAGCTAGTAAGTCAGCAGGGGGAAAAGATCAGCTGCAGGGAGCCTAAAGGCAGAACTAGGGACCAGTTCTTTGTCCTCTGAATGCCTTATTGGACACAGTTTACACGGTACATGTCCTCTTTAATTCAGAAAACAGTGGCATCTTTATTCAAATATAGAAGATCAAAAGGAACCTTTAATTACACAACTGGTTTAAAAATGATGACAGTCAGGGTTCCGATTCAGTTTTCTAAGCAAATAAAAAATGTTTTCTCTCATATCTTACAAAGTTGTCACATTTTCAGTGATGCTGAAAATAATAATTTATTAAACAGTAATTGTAAATGTGAATTTTCTTGTGATGATTTTAACTTTTATGTAATAACATTCTTTATTTTCTTTCAGACTCCTTTGCTGGCGATTTCCTCTTGACTCACAGCATATTCATGCCAACAACTCAGTTTTGCCAAGCAATGCTCCATCAGTATCCTGGGAAAATGTGCAAATCTTTATTGAATTAAAATAAATCACATAAAAATAAGGGAGGAGCAAAGGCAAAGCAGCTTAATGCAAAGAATCATATTTTTTATAACTTTCCCTGCATAAGCTTCCCTGTGCAACCTAAACTGAACAACTACAAATGTACAGTGGTAGATTGTGTATAAATAGGAAAGGGGCAAGTGTCTTTCAATTATTGATTAAATACTCAAATGTTCAAATATTGTTTATTTTTTAGGTTTTTTTTATTATGCTTTAGAAATAAATACAAACCTACCTAAGACTGCTGTCAGATTTAAACAATATTAATATATAGTAGTGAACCCAGCTGGCAGTGTCACTGCTTGATTGACCAATATACCGTAGATGTAAAGCTTAACAAGAGGCTGGCAAATATCTCATGATTAATGGCTTGAGCTTCTTATATTTAACAGAAGAGGTGTAAAAAAAAATAAATCCAATAAAATATTTGCTTCATTCACCTAAATCTTTAATGTCAAAATTGTTTGTCCCTTTATGATGACTTACCTTAACAAAACTCCAGATTTATTGTGGAGCCATCCGAAGTGAATGAGCCTGAGAAGGCCACATACTCCTTTCACAAGAGGCAGAACATTGTAGGACTCGTCAACCTGTGGGTAGAACTTTATGGCCATTTACTGGAAGCTGAGCCAAGTGCTAAAAGCTTTCTGGAGGTGAGTAGCTGCAGGGCCGGTGCACACTTAGGCGATCTGTGACCACGTGGCAATCATGCACGATACTAGGGATACACCAATACCGGTATTTTGGTACCGAGTACGAGTACCGATAATTTTTTTTCCGGTACTCGCCGATGCCAATTACCAAGTAACAGAAGTCCCATTCAGGAAGCCAGGTGGCGTGTGTTGACTCGCCACCTGGCTTCCTGATTAGCCGGGCAGCGTGTAAAGACTCGCCACCCGGCTTCCCGATTAACAAGAAAGTCCCCTCTTACCTTAGTATGTGCAGCCTGTCACCCCCGGGGCCTCTCCAGCGAGAACGCGGCCTTCCTCGGGTACCCAGCCCGAGCCGTCTGGCCGGCCACTCAGGAAGTGTAATGACGCGACGCCCTGCTTTCTGATTGGCCCGGAGATGGAGACATAAGATGACGAGGGAGCATGAAGCCAGCTTCCCAGCCAATCAGAAAGCAGGGGGTCGCGTCATTACACGGCACCCGGCTTCCTGATTGGCCGGCCAGACGCCTCCGGCTGGGTACTGGAGGTAGGCCGCGTTCTCGCTGGAGAGTACTCACCCAAGTACTCGGAATCGGCACCGCTATCGGTACTAGTATCGGTATCGGTGCATCCCTACACGATACCGCATGGACTGCCGCGTGGTCATGCAGACACCCATCACAAACGATCACGCTGTGGCTTCCTGATTGGCCGTGAAGTCGTCTCCATGGTCTCTCATCACAAGTGACGAGAGAGCATGGAGCCGTTTCCCGGCCAATCGGGAAACAGGCAGCGTGTAATGACGCGCTGCCCGGCTTCCTGATACTGGAAGTACTCGTGCTAGGCATCGGAGCATTTGGGCGAGTACGAGCACTCCCCCAAATACTCGGAATCGGCACCGATATCGATACTAGTATCAGTATCGGTGCATCCCTACACGATACCGCATGGATTGCCGCACGGTCACGCAGACACCAATCACAAACGATCACGCTGTGGGTGCCATTATGTTTCCCGCAGCGATTCCGCCTGTGTGCCCTAAAACAGCCACGCGTTGTGTATCGCAAAAAAAGGTACATGTACCTTTTTTCTGCGATTGATGCGTGGATGTCACCCCATTGAAAACAATGTGGCCATGCGGCAATCGCTGTCTGCAATTGTGCAGGACCGTGCAATCCCAGGACGCGCATTCCCGGATCGCTCAGCTCTGCACCTGGCCTTAGTATGGTGTATCTCTGTCTGTGCCCCCATTTACAAGCATGACTGGGCAAATATGTAGAGGTATTAGTTCTAATGTATTTTCAGGGCAAGCCAAATGTAACATTGGTTATACTCGGGCAGATCTTATAGGAGACTACAAAACTTTTTTTTTTTTTTAAACAGTATTAAAAACAGTTTTACACATGACTACATTATGTGTCTGCCCTAAAGTGAGATGGGAGCCCTATATACACTTATACTCTGCCCTGGGCGTATTCTAGCCCAACATAATAGAAGTTTGTGTTTTCTCATAGTGAAAATTGCAATCGTGCTGTATCCAAAAGCAGCAAATTCGTTGAATGAAACATAGTCAGAATACTGAAAGCCTGAATGTGATAGGTTGCTACACAATACTGCTCATCATTATTCTTATGTAATTCAATAATTATCTCTATATTGTAATCAAATGCATTCTCATTTTATTTAAAAGAAACTCTCAGACTACATCAGTAGAGACTCTCGTTTACTTGCCTGCTTGAAAGAAAATCTCCAGGAGAGGCGGAAAAACAGAACGTAAGTGTTTGGTTTTTTTTAATCAAATGACTTATCTACAGTATATTTCCTACAGCATATGAAAGAATACCAAGGGAGCTATGAGGATTTGTATTTCCTAGACAATATACTGTATTTCTTAGCATGTTGCACTGGGCAGCCACAGCCACTGCTGCTTTACACTGGATGTATCCTCATACTTTTTCTAATGCAATCAAATTATATAAACATTGGAAAAATCCTTGTTTTAATGGAGTTTGTTAATTACAATATTATGCTTTGCAATGCATTGGGAAATTCTGCTGCATTTTTGGTGTGTTGACCTACATTTCACCATTCAAATTGGACCTTTCAAAGACACAACACATCTAAGATGTTTGGTGTGAACAAGTGATAAAATAGATCTGCTTGCGATACAGTAAAACTTATGACTAGTCAATGTCTTATTTTTGTAGACAACCTTAGGGCTTGTATAGAGGGACTTTGCTTTATGAATGTAGCGCTTTGCATTTTGAACGCATGTTTCCTCATTCAAATGCAAAATGCAGCAGGAACATAATTTGGCCTGATTTTCCAGCAACACCAGTGGATCTCAACAGAGCCTGCTTCATTCTAAATTCAGTGATGAACTCCAAAGGAATCACTGGTAATTTGCATCCTCCTACCTGTTTAGCGGTCACCAGCCCATTTTGCCCAGCTCCAGCAACACTGACACTTCTTACAATGAACAGGCTTGAGCCATAGGGTTTTTTGAAAATATTTATTGCTTAGTAGTAAACTCAGGAGAGATGTTAGGGTTGCAGGATACCAAAAATAAAAAAATGGAGGACAGTGTCTTCACTAGTAGCAACAGCAATATCAATAGATTCTTGCAACAGAGGGCAGGCAGGAAAGATCTCTGGCTCAGTGAGAGCAGTCACGGTACTCTGGCTTCTTCTCTTCTGTATAGTACCTGAGTCCTGGGCGAGAAATCTCTCTTAGAGGATCCAGATGGCAGCTCTCCTCAGCTCCTCTGCAACACTCCTTCTCCTTCAGGTTCCCTTCTGGTTTCTTTCCAGTATCATCTTAGCCCCCCCCACCCCAGCACTTGCCACATGCTGAGGCCCAAGCCAGACATCTTGCAAACACACAGGCCTCCTCCCAGGGAGAAGTGCCAGGGGAGGCAAAATTCTGGAAAGGTGCTCCCAAATATTTATTACCTTCCGCTAGCCATACCTCTGAGTCAGCCTGCTCAGGTATTTGTCAGATTCAGATTCATATTCATAACCTGGCCATTGACCCTCCTACCGTGTATGCTGGAGCCCCAACCCGGCAACAGGGGGAAACAACTAATCTACCAGATTTAGGGAAAACTTGCAGAACCTGGAATAATCAACCTCCGGGCTGACAAAAGTCCATAAATAAAACACTAACAGGTCTATTCACAAAAGGGTGAAGAGTTAGGAGAAGGCAGGAGAAGGGAACAATCTAGGACATAATAGCTGATTTGGAAAATTTCTCCAATTCAGCTCACTTTCCAGTTCAGCTATGTTGTCCTAGATTGTTCACTTCTCCTGCCTTCTCCAAACCCTTCACCCTTTTGTGAATAACCCTGTAAATTTAGTAGCAATACAACTATAAGTGACATGGGAGCTACATAAGAAACACAAAGCAAGTCAAATGCAGCCCCAGAATGGTCACACTACACAAAGCAAATGGAAACCTGCAGGTTTTCATTCAAATTTTACATCAAATGCATTTTAAACAAAGACAAACAAAGCCTGTTTAGCCTTATGCTTTCAATACATAGCCAGATTTTTTGTTGTGACCTATCATGGTATTACTAGCGAAAATCAGGTAGCGTAGGACTGAAGAAGCATACAAGATATCGGGTATACCAAAGGTCTGTGCCATCTGTAATACACATTTTTGACCACTCAGGATTTGGCCCATGTTGGAGATACAGCTTTAAACTGGTTTTGCACTTAATGCCTTTTATATGTAAGCTAGAAATTTATGTTTCTCTTTGATTTCATTCCAGACTGGAGACCAGCAATGGAAACGTCTCTCCTCAAATAAAGGTATATAAAATCAATACCAAGAGCATGTGTCAGCTGATATGTACCGTTCACCATAATTGTAGGAGTTTTAAACATACAGTTGAAATATACAGTAAATATGGCGAATTATTATAAAAACCTACACTCTTAGCTATGTTTAGTCTCTGCACTAGTTGAACACATATAACTCATTTTAGGCATATAGCTTATAAAACAGCAGTTTTAAATCTGATTAGTCATCAAAATACATCAATTACAGTGCCAAAGACAGCTACATCTGAGTGAAGAAAAGTATTTGTGTATTAATACTCAGGATCTCATTTATCAAAGTATTTTACATACCTGTCTTACCACTACCAGCTAATCATTCTCAATTATGTATTTAAAAAAAAACACATAAAAAGAGAGGAAACACAAAGGTGTTAATTTATAAGAGTTCTTATACAGCACCATCTATTATTATTATTATACAGGATTTATATAGCGCCAACAGTTTGCACAATGCTTTACAAAACTGAGGGAGACAATACAGTCAACAATACAATTTCAATAAAGGAAGGTAGGAGGGCCCTGCTCATGTGTGGGTTGATTTAATTGAAGAACTGAAATGACGGTTATATTGAGGTGGAATAGGCCTCCCTGAAGAGATGATTTTACAATGATCGCCTAAAGGTGGACAGAGTAGGAGATAAGCGGACAGATTGGGGTAGGGAGTTCCAGAGTATGGGAGACACTCTGAAAAAATCTTGGATGGGAGCATGCGAGGAGGTGACAAGAGAGCTGGAGAGCAGGAGGTCTTGAGAGGAGCGTATAGGGCGGTTTGGGTGATATTATGAGATGAGGTAGCGGAAGCAGGCTCTAGTGCAGTGGGAACGGCATCCACCCAGCTCTGCATTGGGTGGAACTTTAAAGATTAAGCCTAAAAGTTTCTCTTTTTGATGCTGTGATAAATTATAAAGATAATATGGTTTTAAACACATATACTGTATATCTTCTCATGAATTGGCAGTACTAGTAACAAGTGTAACTTGCAATGATTGCTGCTGCTGCACACCCAATTAGATACAAAAAGTGTCTGTTGAGCTGTGTATTTGTACAATGCAACACATGTATTCTGTTTTTCTGCATCTGGATGCACTAGACAAAGTAGTGTGCATAGCCATATAATTAGGCTTTTCTCCATTCAACAGATTTACAACTATGGGAACCTTCTTTCCAGTGTAGATGAAGACCAACCCTGTAACTCGTATACTATTCGAGTCCAAGACAAAGGTATGGTAACATATTAACAATCACTGATGTATGCACGAACATATGATTCATTACAACAATAACTAAAGCTGTTTAATGTGTATATATTCCGTGTTGATTCATCTTATAGTCACAATGACATTTTTACTAGCTCTGATAATAAGTTTAGAAGATGACAGATGATAACAACTTGCTATATTAATTTGTTTGCTGTAACCAACATTTACAACAATGGTTAAATATTAGGGATGCACCGATACTGCTTTTTTAGCTACACGCTGCACCGATACCGGAGAGTCATTAAAAGCGGCCCGGCTTCCTGATTGGCTGGGAAGCCGGCTCCATGCTCCCTTGTCACCAGGCAATGAGGAAGCCTGCTTTCTGGCCGATCAGGAAGCCGGGGGGGCGGGTAATGACTAGCTGCCCGGCTTTCTGATTGGCCAGCTTCCCGACCAATCAGGAAGCCGGGCGGTGAGTCATTACACGTTGCTCAGCTTCCTGATTGCCCGGGAAGCCGGCTCCATGCTCCCTTGTCACCAGGCAATGAGGAAGCCTGCTTTCTGGCCGATCAGGAAGCCGGGGGGGCGGGTAATGACTAGCTGCCCGGCTTTCTGATTGGCCAGCTTCCCGACCAATCAGGAAGCCGGGCGGTGAGTCATTATATGCCGCTTGGATTACTATTTGGCCTGGAAGCCGGCTCCATGCTCCCGGCCAGTCATTAAGCCGGGCAGCGTGTAATGACTCGCCGCCCGGCTTTCTGATACTGGAATTTCCGGTATTGCAATAAGTATCGGGAGCACTTGGGCGAGCACGAGTACTCGCCCAAATATCATGTATCCATAATAAATATAATAGGCTTGATTTATTAATGACAAATAGGCTATTCACAGAGAAATTTGCACTTTGCAGAGGAATATTCCCTTAGCTTCCCTTAGCTTATTGAATGTTGTGAAAATTCACTTTGCAATACCCAATCACATGCTAGGAAAATAAAAATACAGTATTTTTGCTTACACATTTGTATATATCAAATGTATTTTTCTAAATAAGTTGCGGTCTTCCAAAATGCCATACATTCAGTTTTAACAACCCGTGGATTTGCTATGTGGGATAAATAAAGTGAAATGATCATAGGTAATCTGATCACCTGATTACTGTGGTGTAATATACTCTCTTGCAGTGCCGTATGACATATATCTACCAGATCATTCTTGTGTGTCCAATATGTTTGCTGTAAATGCAACTGTACAAGAAGTGCTATCAACCCTTGCCACAAAGACTGGCCGTAGTAGAGATCAAGTCCTGGTGAAAGTCAACTCAATGGGAGGTGAGTTACTTCTATGAACATGTTTAATATTTTATAGCAAAGAATGAAGAAAAATGTTTAATTTTAAACCAATATGTATAATGTACATAAAGTACCATAGTTTCAAAATGCAAACAAATGTGTTGAGTGCCATATTGTAAGAAACAAATTAAATTACTAACACCATAAAAAATAATTTAGAAAACAAAAGCTAAAATACACCTGATCCTGCAGAGAGCTCTAGCCACAATCCCAACAAACTTTGTGATGAAAGATTAACAGTGGCTGTCATTATATCTCTACTGAGAATACTGGCTCCCTGACTGTAACTCTGATGCTTTGATTTAATTGTTGTCTGAGTTGCTGAGCAGGAACAATTATAGAGATAAGTACTTCTAACACTTTAGACCCCATTCACACTGGTGCAACAGCGCTTCAGCGTGGTTCACACGCGTTTTTTTAGCACATTTTGAGCGTTTTAATGCTCGTTTCAGTGCGTTTTCTGTTCATATACAGTATATGTAATAGCGCTTTAAGGTGCATTTTCAGCTCATATTCATTTGTCCAATGAAATGCAGTCTGAGCTGCAAAAACGTGTTAAAAAATGCGCACAAACACGCTGATCTGCGCATTTCCATTGAAGTCTCTGGAGCAAAACAAGCTGATAAGTGCCACAAAAGAAGCTCAGGGACTATTTCAAACAACAGGCGTATTTTAATGCGCAATTCAGTGCTTTTGCGTAAACGGCCCGCATAGGAATACATGGGATTTTAATTTGCATGCGCTTCAATGCGTGACCAAATGCCCTGGTGTGAATGGGGCCTTAACAGAGAACTATGGGGTAAGTGTTTTTCCCCATATATACTAATCTCCTCCCGTGACCCAAAGCTCAGTATATCGCGGGCTATTGACCGTGATATACTGAGAGCGCCGCAGCCAGGACGGATCCCGATAATACTGTCGAAACCCACCCAGCTGCATGAGTGACAGTGGGCTCTGCCTATTTAGGGGCAGAGCCAGCTGTGCCCACCCCCTCCCCATTCGTTCCTCCAGTCAGCGCTGGAGGATCGGAGAGGGGAGGGGGGAATCCCGGCGGGGGGTGACTGACAGTCACCACTCACTGCAGGGAGACGATCGGGAAGTGAGCATATCGGTTCATGTTTCTGCTTACTTCCCGATCGATCGAGCTGACCTGTGACAGCTTCTTTTTTAGTTTCAAAAAGTTTTTTATTTTACCAGTAAAGTACTTATTAAACGACACACTGACACGAACATCGTGCGTATGCGCACAAAATGATATAGACATTGGCATTGCTATACAACAGTTGTAACGACAGTAGACATGGCATACGTTTAGCAATCGCCCAATTATTACTTAAATAGGGTGGGGACTGACAAATGCGGTGCTACCACCACCGCGGTCAGGGACATACAAGGAAGGAGCATTTCATTCCAATTTTCAGTTCTCTTTAAGTGCAGTGATAGTCAGACATCAGCAGTTTTCCCATATACCACATTGAATTGCTTCTCCTACATGGCATATTTTTATGTGTTTAACTGAAAATACTGTTTTCCATATTTTCGTTGATATACTCTTAGAATTCTTAGAATTCTTCAAATACTCAAATCTCTCAAAATCTATATATTTGTTAACTTATAGATTTTTGATATTTTCTATATGTCAGAACAAGTTTGTCTAAAACATGAGGACACAGGTGTATTCACATCCCTGGCACTGAACGAGAGGCTCTTCGTCTGTAGTGTTCAAGAATTGACCGCGCTGGTGAGTAGAACATCGGGTGTTTTTACCAACATTTTAAAAGTCCAACATTTATACCAGTAGAATGGTAAAGGTTCCAATACAGGGAGACATAAAGAAGAAAAAGCATTTTAGACTTTAGATCTGACAAGTGTGAAAAAGTGCAAGCATCCCATATCCATTTTGGACATCAGCCCTGAGTCTAAACAAGTTTTGACTTCAATTAAAGCTTACCTCTGTCAAAAGAAAAAAAAAGTTAATAGCCCCCTATTTTTGTTTTTTAAAGCGGTTCTTGCTGCTATACCCTTCTTCAGTATTCCCCTTCACAGTAATTCCTTTCCACCACTAGATATCCTCAGTCTTCTGGGCTGAATGATGCTGTGAATGCAGGGTGTTATGGACACGATAGCCTGCCTTCTCAATCTGCAATCAATGTTGCCAGTGGAGCCTCGATGCAGGGTGTGCCACTAATGTTATGAGGTCAGTGCCACTTCCTGCACTGAGGACCGTCCATCACTGTAGAAGATCCAAAGAGGAAGATAACCCTACATGTCAAGGGACTAGCCTTAGAGTGGACCTTTATCCATATCTTTAAAATAACAACAACATACCTTTAGAAAAGTCTAGTAATGGCAATCTACAAACACATACTTCTAGATAATTCCTTGGTTTGTATCCTTTGCATATCTTATTTCTCTTTTCTTTCCTAGTCTTCTGACAGTGGCCATGTTTACTAAGGGCACATCACTAGCTCTCCATTTACTTCCTGGAACTCTGGCACATGTGACTAGCATACGTGACCATGCACATCATCTCAGGGGAGGAAAATGCCTTTTATTATACCTGGACTGCCTACTTATGATTGTTGGCTTTATTGCTTACAGTTTAGCGAATATCTACCATTAAAACACCTTTCCACAACTAGGCTCTACTAGGAAACTCTCTGCATATCATATCATAGAGCCACAATATAAGATCTCACCTGCAGCACCTCTACAGCCTAAATAATGCAGCTTTATTTCATTCCAAGGCATAGTTTTATTGGCATTAGTCAATTTGGTTGTGCTGAATTTATAAATTGTTTAGTCTGAGGGCCCGTTCACACATAGTGTGGTGACCTGCTCTGTGCGGCACTAGATCAGCACAGGTCACCACTGGGAAAAAAGAAGACAATTGTTTTCTATGTGTCCTGGCAGTGATCTGCATTGTGAACCGGCCCATAGAAAACAATTATTTTCTATGTGTCCTATTCACATCACAATGCGGGTATGATGGGCTTGGCGCAAATGCAAACCTGCTGCATTTTATTGCCGCACAGTGGATTTCACTGCAGGTTGCCACATCAGCACAGTGGATACATTGTATACTCCACATAAAGTTGTAAAAAAAAAAAAGGAAAAAAAAATGTAAACAGTGACAGCTCTGGTAGTATGTGATTCAACACACACTACTAGAGCTGTCACATTGCAGTTGGCAGACAGAAATCAGCGCTTCAGTGGACGGGCTGGTGTGAATGGGCCCTCAGACAGATACAAAATTATATTTTTATTTATAATAGGCTTCTTTTTTCCAAGCTATATCGATCAATATTTGCCACAACAGTAAATTTAACAGTATGGAATGTTGTATAGCTCAGTGGGTAGACAATTTGCCCTGCAACTCTTTAACAGAATGTATAACGTTTCTATATCTGTATTCTTTATTTATACTTATACTTCCCATGGTTCATGCTTGTTGTTTTAGACTCCTCTTCCTGAGCAAATGGGCCCAAATAGCAGTAGCTATGATATGTTGGATCTCATCAGCTCAAAAGACCTGGCTCATCAGATGACAGAACATGACTGGAACCTGTTTAAGAGCATTCACCAGGTATTGTAGGGCTAAATGGTGTCAGTGGAGGTTTTCCATGTTAGAGCAAGCCATCCAGATGCCTGCACTTTATCAACACTTTAAGGGACTCTGTCACTTTGCCTTGAATGGACCCCTTACCCACTTATATTTCCCTTTGCAGCTCTCCCCCACCACACCTTTCTCTATAGCAGCAGTTCAAAAAAAATCTGTGTAATCTCCGTGTCAGATGGCAGGGCTGGTGCAAGGATTTTTGCCTACATAGGCGAAGGTGGATTTTTGCGCCCCCTCCCCCCCTAGTTGACTGCCTATACATCCTTGTGCTAGCACTAGCCTGGACCACATTGCTAGGGTGTAACATGGTAAAATTGCAACCCCCCCTCTTACCTTTATCGCAGGGTTCTTCTCCCCAGAGGGTGCTTTTTTTTTTTTTAAAGTTGTGTGGCTGTGCGTGGCTCCACCAGTCACGTCATCCATACCGTCTGCAATCTTTTTTTTTTTTTAATGCGTGTGTTGGGGACTAATTTTATGTGGGATTTTTCATTTTAGTTTATTTAACTTTTTATTTTTGTAAAACTTTTTTTGTATTTTTTTATTAAACTTTATTTTTTTACATTTTTACTTTTTATTTATTTAACTTTATTTTTGTATTTAGTTAACTTTTTTTTGCGCGGCTGTCAGCAGGAGAGGAGCGCAGACGCCGCGGAGAAGGGAGTAGACTGTAGGGGGAGGGGTCACTGCACGGAGGGGGAGCTAACAGAGTGTCGGAGGGTTCTCCTTACAGGCTGTAATCGGCAATCTGTCCCCACTGACACAGATCGCTGCAGCCGATTACAGCCTGTAGGGAGAAACCGATGACAGTCTGTGAGGCTGCAGCGGGGAGAACCCCTGTCCCAGCAGATAACTGTGCCCGGGACGGTTATCACACAGTGTTCTTCACATAATACAGAAGATAAGATAGATACGTTTCTGTACTAGAATCCTTGGATAGCCCAAACCTGAAATAGAAGTAATATCAGAATATCATTATCCTGGCAGTTCTATAGTTTATCTCAACCCCCGTCACTTTCACTTTATGCTGCACAGTTTGTTCTGCATGTAAATGCACTGATAAGCATAGTGGCATATGAAATAAAGAACCAATTAATATAATGAATGCTATCATTATGTGTGCAAAGATCTTATATTTATCAGAATACAATATTTTTCATAATAATGGTCCTTTAATGGAAGATCTGATTTTGCTTTTTGAACTGTACTCAAGATGTCTTCTGCACTTGCCTTTTAAGGTGGAGCCGCTGTTTCATACATGTGGGAAGCAAAGGTTCCGGAACTCAACAACTGCTAATCTGGAGAGGTTTATAAGGCGGTTTAATGAAGTCCAGTTCTGGGTGGCAACTGAAGTGTGTCTGTGCCAAGATGAAGAAAGGAGGGCACTGCTCCTGCGCAAGTTCATCAAGCTGGCAACATAGTAAGGGACCCCATTCCATCAATGGGATTAATAGTCTCTTTTAATCTGTCTATTGTGTTTCTTGTTTCTAATGGTAAAACTATTCCAGGCACAGGCTGTTAGTAAACTGCAGTAAAGTCACAAGAATTCAGGTTAAGTTATCTCTCATTCATTTACGCTTCTATTCCCTTTGGCTGACCAGAGACTCAAGGTGGAAGATTCCAGTATATTTCCAAGCTAATTGGATTTCATATTTATTTTTGTCCTGTAATATTTTATCAACTGCGTTTGTCTGGAACTGCTCTTCACAGGAACCTCTAACAAGATATCCAAATCTTCTAAAATAAAAGCTTATATCCAACCGGGCCATAGCTGTAATCATTTTGGCCCTGATGGAAGATGGGGTTTAGGGCCCTTGGCATCTTCAGAATAATAATAGAATCAACCACAGACATAAACAGAACCTGATTTTGATCACAAGTCATCCTAGGTAACTATTACAGACACTCACATAAGAGAACCAACTCAGCCCATTGCAAGTACATAGTTCAAACACCAAAAATATATCTACATGTTCCTATTTTTTTATTATTAACATACAGTATGTGGAAAACTAATTGAAATTAGAAAAGCTTGTGCCTGGTAGTGCTCTAACACAGGATGCCACCTTGTTACATTTCATGCAGTGATTTTTTGGTAGTCATGCCATTAAATCTGATTGCCATCTAATGTCTATGGCCAATGTTAGCTTGGGAAACTTTTCCTAAAGCCTTCTATCATAAATGGTCCAAAGTGCTAAGCCTCACTCTAACTGGAATTCCTTGTTAATTTTGTTGTTGTTGTCTTGCAGCCTCAAGGAGCAGAAAAATCTGAACTCTTTCTTTGCCGTCATGTTTGGTCTAAGTAACACAGCGGTCAGCCGCTTGTCCAAGACATGGCAGGTACGTCCATGAAAAATACAGTATACTGACTGGAGCTCACTTAACACTTGCTGGCAGAGATGTAAAGCAGGCACACAGGTGGATGCCTACACATACTGTATGTTCACATGCCTGCTAGAGTACCCTGGGAGTCTCAAAGATCAAGATGGTCTAATATTGTTCAGTGAAGCTGTCCAACATTGTGATGGACCAATAGTGGGAATGGGAGTTGCAAGACCAAGCATGACTTAAGTTGCGATATGTATGTTATATATATCTATATGTATGCGTTTGGTCTCTCAGGGTACTCTGTAAGCTGTGTAGGTATACATGCTGGCATCTTCATGTGCCTGCACTGCATCTCTGCTAGCACTTTAGCAGGTAAAAGTGAACACAGGTTTGCATTAAGTTGCAATATTTGTTTTCAACATCTCCATTGACTTGAAGGAATTACATTATTATTGTGTATTTGTAAGACTGTTTTTTTGTATTATTGTCTATGACATAAAATAGTAAAAATGTTTGCAGTTACAATAACTACCTAACCAATGATGGTGACATACTGCTTGGTATCATAGCTTTACCAAAATATAGTCTACCTTGCTTTGTGTATACTGTTTTCTCCATACACTCTAAGGCTACATCCACACAGAAATATTACGTGCGGCTAAGGATTCCTGTGGCAAGAAGCTATGGATTCTTGCTGCAGGAATCACAAGGGTGTCTGTTCAAGAGAAAAAATTACAGATGCCTGTTCAGGTTAAAAGAGAACTATGAGGTGAGTGATTTCCACTCATCCTCATAGTTAGAGCCGACCTGTGACAAAGAAGCTGTCACAGGTCTGCTGTATTGATTGGGAAGTGAGTAAAAACATGCAGACGATCCGCTCACTTCCCGATCGTCTCCCTGCAGTGAGCGGTGACTATCACTCACCACTCCCAGCAGGGATTCCCCCCCTCCCCTCTCCGATCCTCCAGCACTGAGTGGAGGAACGGACAGGGAAAGGGGGCGGGCACAACTGGCTCTGCCTCTAGATATGCAGAGGCAGCTGTCACTCACGCAGCTGGGTGGATCCAGACAGTATTGTCGGGATCCATCCCGGCTGTGGTGCTCTCAGTATAGCAATAGCCCACTATATAATGAGCTTTGGGTCACGGGAGGAGGTTAGTATATGTCCTCCCGTGACCCTAAAGAGAACTATGGGGAAAAACACTTACCCCGTAGTTCTCTTTTAATGGCAGGCTGACAGTGGCCACATCTGTCAGCAGCATTCCACTTATAATCACTCATGGAACAATTACCTGCGGTTTGGGATAGACGATTGTCCCTGGACACAATCGGTCTGCATCGGGGACAATCATTTATCCAGAACTGCAGGTAATTGTATCATGTACAATTGCATGTAGACTGCCGCTGACATATAAGGCCGCTGTCAGCCTGTTATCAACATGAATGGGCACAGTGGCCACATCTGTATGGACACACCTGGAAATCCTGCTGCAACAATCCATAGGTTCGTGCAGCAGGAATCCCCAGATGCAGCCTAAAGCCCTGTGTGGATAAGATCAAAGCCAGATGAGAGCATGGATCTCAGAAGTCCAGCCTTTAATATCTCTAATAGTTTACACACAAAAAAGATATAAACTCCTGCCAACAAGTAAAACCAGTCACTGAACTCATGCTATCCATCTCTACTGGACTCATTAGGTCCCATCATTCAGATATGTGATCACTGTGTGGAATTTCCACCACACAGTAATGGAATTTTGTACCTACCATATAGGTTAGTCCTCAAATAAACTGCATTTCTCTTTGGATAACAGCAATTATATGTGCTTATTTTGGCTTTATAATTGTATATTTTCTAATTTGTAATCCTTTTTTCTTTTAGCAAATTATTTATTAATAAAGCTTATACAAACTGTTAAAATCCATGCATGACATGTACATGTCTAAAATTAGCTAATAAATCAATTATGCAGGGTACGTCATATAAACTGAAAGGTAAAGTAAAGGCAAACTGTAATAAAACAAAGCGTGACACTGCTCTTCGAATTTTCAAGTATATGTTTCTTAATAGACATAAGTGTTTGTCTAAACTCTGACAATTAAGAACAATACTTTCTTTTCTGTTTTAGCGGCTGCCACACAAAACACGGAAGTTGTACTCAATCTTTGAAAGGTTGATGGTAAGTCTCTGCTAATGCATACACAAATATGGGCCTTCTCTACTTTAAAACCAATTGGAGAATCTGAATCAGTCTCCTACAAAAGGAATAATGACCAGGTTGAACACCAGTGGCAATATTTTAGTTTTCACAGAAGAACACGTATTGCCATAGACTAGCAGATAGGATGCTGTAGGTGAAATGGGATTATTATTATTATTATTATTGGCTTCAAAAAAAGCAAAATAACAGTTTAGGACTCTTTAAGATTCAAGTACTAAAGCCAAATAGGCTGTTTACTTTGCAATGGAATATGAATTTGGTGAATCTTCACTCTTTATATAATACTCAATCACATATAAGGAAAATAAAAGAGAAAACAGTATTTTTGCTTGCACATGATTGAATGATGGAAGTATCAAGATCAGAGATCCATGTTTGGGGTGAAGAAAAAAAAAACCTGTCAAATAGAAATTCCTTATTGTATAGAATAAATTGAAGGTATTCTTAGGGTTGCGAGAGTATGATTCAAAACTCTTGTGCAATAATGTGATTTAACCGAAATTTACCGAAAAGCAGAGAAGTGTATTGCATGTTGCAGCCTTATACAGAAGACAATAGAATGCATTTGTCTCTGCAGGATCCTTCCTGGAATCACAGATCATATCGATTGGCTGTGGCCAAACTTAGTCCACCTCTCATTCCATTCCTTCCACTTATTTTAAAAGGTAGGTTACCACCATTTCAACTATATAAAGTCCAAGAATGTTATCAAATGTTTTGGCAGATTCCAGCATACATAGTTCCGTGTCTCTTGGGTGCTGTAGATAACAATATTCAGCATGCAGCCAGGCGGAGGTGCCTACTCTCCAGCATGACTGACAATTGTATTTCCTTTTCCTAGACACGAGCTCGCTTTAAGGTACGAAACCACGCATCCGGCAAAATAGGCCAAGCGCTATTTTATGGGCGGATTCCACACGTTCCAGCTATAGTAATAGCCATAAATGTGCAGAATTTGCGCGTATGTTAACATTTGCACATTTTTCGTGCGAAAAACTGCAGGGAAAATGCTACTGCTATGTGTGAATGGAGCCTAAAGGACAACTGTTATGAAAAAAGGGCATGGGCACAAAGTGTGAGTTGGCAATGGGAACAGTCCAGTTTTAATAAAAAATAAAGAGGTTTGGGTATCTTTCATTAGGTCTCTCCATTAGACTGTCACTGCCTGTGTCTGCAAAAAAGGCAAAGAAGGCAAATACCTGTGTCTGCTATTGTAAGCTCGTATAAATATTGGTTCATTGTAAAGATTTAGGTACAACAGACTCAACATTTTTAAGAATATCATCTTTCCTCTAGGGTGTTTATGGTCATGGAACTCGTTAGTGAAAATTAATTCACTACCAGTTTACAGTACAGGGTATGAAGGGAGATCAAATAGATCACAAAATAACATGGACTCGATTTGACAACAAATTATATTAACCCGTTTTTTTTAAAAGTCCCCTTTCAATGTGCACACATATATATATATATATATATATGTGTGTGTGTATGCATAGATGAGGGTAATAGAAGTACACTGGACAACCTTGTAAACTTTGAGAAAATGGTAAGTCAAACACCAACTTTCATGTCATGTATCATTGTATTGTAAATGTAATACGTTAAAAGAGAACTATGGGGTCAGTGCTTTTCCCCATAGTTCTCTTAAGTGTCACAGGAGGAACTATACTAGCGTCCACCCGTGACCCAAAGCTAGAGATATAGCTTGCGGTATACTGGGACCGCCGCAGCCAGGAGGGATCCTGACATTACTGTCGAGATCCACCCAGCTCCGTGATTGACAGCTGGCTCTGACTATCTAGAGGCTGAGCCAGCTGTACCTGCTCCCTCCCCTGTCTGTTCCTCCAGTCACTGCTGGAGGATTGGGGCGGGGAGCGGGGTTCGGGGGAAACCCTGCAGGGTACCGTGACTGACAGTCACCTCTCTCTGTAGGGAGATGATCGAGAAGTGAGCGAGCGACGGTATGTGTTTGCTCACTTCCCGATCTATTGAGCCGACGTGTTGCAGTTTCATTGTCACAGGTCGGCTCGAACTATGAGGATGAGTGATTTTCACTCACCTCATAGCTCTTCTTTAATGGCATGTTTGGAGTAATGTTGTTATGAAACCAAATAATCTTTGTTTAAAACAAACATCTCAGCACAGTGTACTTCCTATAGGACTGTTTCCGCAAGTTTTGCTGGTTATTTAATAGAAATAGGAACAGTGTAAATATGTAATAGAATTTGATACTGTATGGATAGGTTTTGTACATAGTAAGCTATGTTTTCATATTACTTAATATATATAATACAATATTGTTGAAGTATTAAATTAATGATCATTTATTTGTAACCTTTGTAGCGCATGATTGCAAAGACCATACGGATGTTTCACAATTATCGCAGCCAGAGCTACAGTAAGTACAATTGCTTATGGATACAGTGCTGAAGGCAAAACACTTGTAAATCTGTGTTTACATCCTATGCTATATATTATTAATTATATATATAAACTTCCTGTTTGACTGCTGGAGGATTCTACTTCTAGTATAGAGTTTGGCTGAACAGATCATGCTCCGCCATGGAAATCCCTTGCTCCCCAGTACCTGGTCACACTTTCAGCCCCCAGTATCCATGCCAGACAGTTTGATATACTGTACATACGTAAAACAGAAATAACTGCCATCTATGAAAATCATCTACACACATATATGATAATCAACGTAATAATTATAATTTCTGCATATTTTACATTTGGAATCCCCACCTCTCACATACTGGTAAGGTACCTTGCTGTGCAACTTAAATCCGTGTTTCCCAAAGGGATAATATTACGTTATTATTTCATTTTCTTCAACTATATACAGTCCCTCTGTCACCACTTCGATCTCGGCCTCTCCATATCCTTGAGGATGCTACTGCAGTCCGTCTTTCTACGTGTAAGTTTACAGAATTATTGATCCTTTTTTTTTTTCCAACTTTTCTTTATAGAAAAAATTCATAACTAATAAGAAAGATAAAATGTTTTTGTAAATTTTTTGTATAGCAGCAACCAATCATACACACAATTAGTATGTCATCTGTTGATGTATTTGCTTGAAAAATTATTTCACAGCAAAAATGACTTACTAATTGCATGCAATCATCTAACTGAGCTTCATTTAAGGAGGTGCTGAGCCTTGAGCTTTATTTGGCGGGAAAAAGGGTTTTTGTCCACTTGGGTAGTCAGGTTAGGAAAACAGCTACAGTACTGCCATCTCTGATCTGCTTCCTATACTCAACATACAGTATGGCCTTATGGTAGAATTTGTACTTTACATGCAATTGTTGAGTTACAGAGTGTGCACACAGAGGATAAATATGGAAATGATTAATATACATACTGTGTGTCTTGGTCACGTTATAACCATTAGAGGCGATGAGTGAGCTAAAGGCTATGAATGAGTAATGAGAATACATAACAATGAAGCTATGCATCTGTTAAAAAAACAAAGCATGGATGCTTTTTAAAGGCAACTCTACCCTAATTACAGTGGTATGCAGTTGGCCTCTTATCATTCTCTGTTGTACTAGGAGAGGGAAGACCAGCTCTAGAAACCACATCTACTGCATTACATTTGCTGACAAGAAAAAGGAGAAAGCAGGGGAATTAAACTATCAGTCTGCTGCTTCTCCTTCACTGTCCAGTTACAGGCTGGGGTGGGAAGGTGATCTGCTATACTGCTCTAAGGCCTGGTTCACACCTGGGCGTTTTGTAGCGCGTTCCTACGCTCTGCAAAATGCTCAAACACCGAAATCCCATTATTTCCTATGGGTATGGTTCACACCTGGGCGTATTACAGGCAGTATGAACGCGCTACACAACGCCCTACGCCCAAAGAAGTACAATAGCTTCTTTGGGGCGTTTTTTCCGTGCGTATCCATTGGGATACAGCCAGGTAGCCCTCGGAAACGCGCGTTTGTCGCACGGTTTTTACCGCGAATCGCAGTAAAAACGTGCAACAGGAAACGCGCGACAAACGCGCATATTGGATACGCCTAGGTGTGAACCCAGCCTAAGTGTGGTACAGAAAAGTCTAAGAAGCAAAATTTGTCCTGCTATGTGGCAGGGCTGTGTAAATGTCAGTACTGGATAGACAGAAATACTTATGCTTTGGCAGGTGAAACAACTCCCACACAGTAGATGTATTTTAAATAGGTATAAAACTGTTTGCCTGGAGTTTAGCTTTAATGTAAGCCTGTAATTATGGAGGCTGCTATTTCTGACCTCCTAAAAATGCTAGTTATCTGTCTGTTCTAGTGATCTGATGGATGAATTCCTGAGTCATTGGCCTAGAACACGTATACACATTGGAAGTTCTCACCTCACTCTGACTTTATTCATGGAATGTTTGTTCCAGGTCAATGATTCAGGAGTATTGAAGCCAGAGAAAGACAGGCATTTAGCATTTTCACTAGGAGGATCAGTAATGGCAGACCACATATTTTCTGAGCAGAGCTTTTCATTTTAGGAAACCTGCACTGAGGAAAGTTAAATGTTGGCATTGATTACTTTGAAATTGCTATTCCCTGGCTTTTTTGAAGACCCTCTGCTTTCAGATTTAATGACCAAGCACAGATTTAAAGATCAGATGGTCAGACTCCAGTTTTGCTGTCAGGAGCATGCAGAACAGCCAACACACCTGTTGTGGTCACTGCGGCCCTGGACTAGGTTCTAGAAGTGAGGCTCAATAGTCTCCCAGCAGCCAGCATTAGGTGGCGATTAATTGAAAGGTTCTTCTGGGAGACACCCACTGATGGACACTGTAATTACCTCATTCCAGTGTCCACCTGTGGGCGTCTCCCAGAAGAACCCTGTAATTTGTCACTACCTAATGCTGGCTGCTGGGAGACTTTTTAGCCCCACTTCTAGAATAAGAAAGTGCCTCATTATTCTGCCTGTGCACCTGTACTGACCTGCTGGTCCCTCTGCCTTCCTTGCTGACCTCACTTTGCCACACTTCCTTTTACCTGTTTCCCCTGAGGTTTTGGTTTTACACATACGTTTTGTGTGTAGTTAGTTATTTGTTTCACTTGCACGTTACATTATTTGGGTTTTGGCTTTACTATATACGTGTGGTATAAGTTCACTAATATATTGTGATGTCTTTACAACACTTTATTTTCAGTGTTGCTTTTAAACCCTGAAAATGAAAATAAAGTTGATAAAGCTCTCAAAGTCTGTAATGGTTGGGGATATTTCTGCGCGTCTAGGACTAGCCAAAGTCTAGAAAAAAACCATGCACTCATTTAGGAGCCATGTTTGGGTTATCAGAGGCTGAGTAGCTAAACAACTGTATTATGGTTTATGGAGTTTATCTTTTAAAACCTACAAATCTATAAAATAAAGAAAAACATGGTGCCCTAATCATTACAAGAATTTTTACACATGTCCTAATACTTTCAACAAGGGTTTGGTGTATTAAAAACAAATTTCATGCTGTTCCTTCTTACAGGTTCGGAGTATTCAGTGAACTTTAGAAGTCCAGCATCAACATGGGCCTATATCCAACACATGAAGGTCATTGACAATCAGAGGAAGTTGTTGGAGATGTCTCGCAGCCTTGAACCATCCTGAAATATGGAAAGTGCTTTGTGGAGTCTGTAGAAATGCAGCTGGATACAGGCATCCTCCAGTCAGTTCATTGTAATCCCTGTATCAGGGGCTCAGGACCTTGGTGGTTCATAGCCAGTCCAACATTTGGACTCATCCCCTTTTGGAACAAGTATACCGGGTAATATCAATATCTAAGCATATGCTCAAGCCTACCTTCCAGTGACGGACGTTACAAGTTTACCAGCATTGTGATTGAACATTCACGTTACTGTGGGATCTATACTGTAAGACTTATTATTGGACGGCTTCCTGACTCGTGTAAAGTGCTTTGTAGTGTCCATCATTAATATATAGACAAAATTATTCTGTCATCTAATACTGTGCCAAAGGACATCATGGAGCAATATTGAAAAAACTGAAATGCAAATGAGAGAATAAACAGATATTTTCAAAGACTGTGGGATACCTATGAACACTGACTATTGGTAAGAGTGATTAGTGCAGCTACTGGTTCAGAATGACAAAATGAAATGGAAACTATTTTAAAAATAAATAAATGGTCGTTTCAACGGTTACAATTTCTGTTACTGGAAAGTCTTGTTTTATCAACAGTCATGGAAAAAGAGGCCCATTAATGAACGAGTTGTCTTCTGTGATAATAGCAGAGGCTGATGCTATCTTCAAAAACTGTTTATTTGGGTTTATTAATAAATAAAATTAGTGTTCAGCGCTTGGTGTGTAGCATCAGTGAGATCCACCCCCTAAACACAAAAAAAAACCTATGGATTTTTAGGAGTTATAATAAGTATCTCATATCATACACTGTATGCACGGATATTATTGAATTACTGGTGCATAATTCACCTTTTCACTTTGATTCACCTTCACATGAATATTGGATTTTTTTTTTTTGTTTTATTTTTGGATGTAGGAAGTTTTTTTCTGATTTTCTATAATTATTTATGAATGTATTTATTAATGCCATAGAAGTCTAGATATCTAGTGCTGTACACTCATTTTATTTGTTTGAAAGAACTTGCTTTAGTATAGCAGCTAAATATCTTTTGTCTGCTAGGGAAGTCCTGAGCGCAGACATTTTTTTGAATATTTGGGTTATTGTGGTATAAATCTATGAAAGAAGCACACACATTTGCAAGGATGTCCTGCAAAAGTTGTAGAACTCATTGATTACAATAGTGAACCCAACTGACGCAATACATATAACTCCAAACATCTTGCATTATCCTAAGTGCATGAAGATCCCATGGTGGGGTGAGTTTCCTCTAGTTCCGATTTACTCCCATATTATAAAACATATTGGCAGGGAAAAGAGAACTATCAGAGAAATAAAAAAAAAGGAGCCTACCATTGCTGTTATATCTTTAAAAAAAATACCACTTGCTTGGTCAGGTCATGTAGATCCTATGCCTAGGAGTCACTGACCCTTTTTTCTCTTATGGCCAATTTGCCTTGTTCAACAGTGTGAGTATTACTGGAAGCAGAAAGAGAGTTTAAAAGGAGAACTATGAGGTGAGTGCTTTTCACTCAGCCTCATAATCTGAACCGATCTGTGACAATGAAAACTCGCAGGTCGGCTCAGTAGATCGGGAAGTGAGCGAACACATACCGGCGCTCGCTCACTTCTCGATCCTGTCACTGCAGAGAGCCGTGATAGGGGAGTGACTGGATTCTCCCCTCCCCGATCCTCCAGCGCTGACTGGCGGAACGGACGGGGAGGGGGCGGGTAAAGCTGGCTCTGCCTCTAGATAGGCAGAGCAAGCTGTCACCCATGCAGCTGGGCGGATCCAGACATAATTGTCGGGATCCGTTTCAGCTGCGGCGTCTCAGTATACCGCAAGCTGCAGCTCGCGGTATACTGAGCTTTAGGTAAATGGGAGGACGCTAGTTGTGTCCTCCCGTTACCCTTCGGAGAACTATGGGGAAAAGCCATAACCGCATAGTTCTCCTTTAATGTGGTAAGGGGAAAGGAGCAGGTTTTACTATAAAGCACTTTACTTTCAGCTTAGGAGCTTACAAAGATCTCCCCCATGTGACAGTGCTGGGTGCCTGAGTAGCCAATACCCAAGCTCCACCACTTTCATTTGGAGTGAGTCGCATGTGCTTCTATACCCAAAGTACAGGGTACCTTTCTCTGACCTATCGACTGAATGGAATAGTGAAAAAGTAGTGAAGGGAACATGTGTGTACTGCAAGGACTAGGCATGGGCTCACTTTAAAATGAAAATGTGGGCTGGGCTATGGACAGTCAAGTATTTATAGTTTAACTGGAAACATGAGCTTTAAAACTATCAGTTGTCCTATGTAGCTGAAAGAATTGTTTGGGAAAATCATCCTTCAAAACTCACAACAGAAGCAGTGAAGTGGTTCAAGTCATTCCCTCAGTGTCTGTTTCCCCCTTCCCAGCAGTGTCTCAAAAACCTTCTAATATAGAATGTATATACAGAGCATGTGCTCTGGTGGGGTGAACAGAGCTGCCCAAGAGAACGATACGTGCCTGCATATATCCCGTCCAGTTTCTGGTGATCTTACCAGCAAGGCACAAAACACCTTAAGAATTAAAATTTATTAAAGATATAACAGAAACAAAGACATACATAAAGCATACCATTCTAAGTATTTGTAAAACAACAAAATGAACAACACATTAAATATTCAATCCTATAGCAGATGACAAAGCTGCACATCTGTTACCAATACAGCTTTGTGATTTATTTACCAGAGGTTGCATCCTATGACAGGGAGGAGTCAAGATAATGGCCTTATGAGTAAGTGTGCTCATATTCTACAGAAATAAACTTATACAATTGTAAATTTGTCAAGACCAAAATAGGAGGGCTTTTATTGCCAACCTCTTTCTGAAAATCCTGGACGACAGTCTTATCCTGATCCTCTGGCTTCACTGCGCTAGAGCGAGTATGCAGATCAGGCAAAGCAAAGAAAAGTCAGTCTGCAAATGTCTTCATGGTCAGGGATTGAAGTTATTATAGCAAAAAAGGTCACAATCCCAGCCAGGCAACTTAGCAGATTCCAAAGTAGAGCTCAGCAACAGCAGTCAACCCGTTTTCGGTCATGGCCGGGGTCTTGACAATTCTAGTCCAAATGTTATAAAATGATTGGTCAGGCATAAAAAAATGTATCAGCCAATGCGCATTGTTCAACACAAGTTTTGTAAAATATTAATCTAAAGCCATTAAAAAAAACAAAGTAGGGTAGGAAAGATTTAGCAACTCTGCCAGGTTTTATTGCTGCCCATGCCCCCTTTGGGGAGATGCATTCTCTCTATCTTCCCTGCTGACCACTGTCATGGTAACAGAAAGTGAGGTAAAATCCAAAAGGTTTAATTGGAACAATAGTGTCTTCCAATGGGTACATGTTGCAACTGTCTCTATGCAGCAATCTCCTCTGATTTCCTGTGGTGTCTACAGGACAGGAATTGAGGGGTAAACTCCCAATTAGGACAAATGACAAAAAAACCTGGCTGGGATTTTAACCTTTTCCCAACTATCACATATGTAAAAAAAGTTTTGGCTTTACATATAATTGAGTCAAAAACAGCAGAAACTCAGTTTTCAAATCTACAGTTTTAGAGAAGTGCGAGCTTGGCACATTGCTAATTGACTCCAATCAATGGACGTTCTTCTCTTTTTTCCCACAAACTTCTACTGCAGTGTTTGGGATTAAGCTTTCTAGCAGCTTCCTGATGCGAGATATGCAATCCCATGCACTTATCCTGCTTTTCATCACCTCCAACATTTTCTACTGGGTTTTCGTTCGATCTTCTACCTGGAATATCACATTCAGTGTCATGAGTAGACACAGGCATCTCTGGGTCTTTGAGGCCACCAAATTCATTTCTCACTGCTGGCTCTATAACGTCAACCCCGGAATCCAAGCTTGTCACATTATTGAGCTCCTTTTCAAGTTGAGCGCCTTCGGAGAGAGCTCCATTTCCCATACAAATAAACCAAGCTTTTGGTGGCAACAACTCTGGTTTTCCAAGTTGTGCATTTTGTTTGCTAGAATCTTCTTCGGTTTTTCTTTCTAAAGTGTTGGGAAGAGAAAAGGATTCTTTATTCCTCACATGCCTGCTTAGAATAGACAAGCCAGCAGTGTCCCAAGTAAACTGCTGGTCACTGGAATTTTCACACAGTAGAGTACTGCTTCGGCTCAGGTGTTTTGGCAAATCTGCAGACTGGAATTGGTCAGCATTCATGGAAGACACATGCACTGGAGACTCCAGAGGAATCATGGCCATTTCCACATCCAGTCCGCTTTTCATCGACGAACTGCGCCTCTTGGCCTTCAGACTGAACATTGCACTCTTCTCCAATATTCCTCCCAAATAAGAAGCCCCAGACGACAACATATACTGCAGTGTTGAATAATGTGCCTCACTTTTTTTACGTATGGAAGTGTGTGATCCCTCCTCTTCATCACTGATGCTCATTAAGTGGCTGTTTAGAGATAGACGAGGCGTCACACATTTGCTTTTTTGGTTACTTCGATCCATAGGAAGTGGCAGTGAAATTTCTTGGGACTCTTTGGCATCGTTTTGAAGATGATGTTTTGGGTTAATGGCATTTAAAGTAAAACTGGTCATAGATGTTGCCTGATCTCTTACCAGTCTTCCAAATCTCGTGGATGAGGTTCGATTTATTTTGAAGCCATTCCTCCTGGAAATTATAGAAACATAATAAATGCAAGACTGTATTTAGACATGATACTGCTTCATAGGCGCATATAAATATTTAAATTCCTTCATATCATGTTACATGATTTCTATGACAATTCTAAGCAAGAATGTACTATTGAAGGCATCACTGCTTGTTTTATATGATGCGTTGTCATTGGCCTATACAGTGTTTTTTTTTTGTCCATTCAAGATTAAGTGGCGGTGTCTGTTTAAAGGATCCCATCTGCCTAAACATTTGATAGATGCCTCTCCAGTGATCCCCACTGATTTTTCCTCCCTGGTGTTGGCTGTTTTCAGAGCCTAGAGATATCAGATGTCCCACCTCCAACATGGTGGCCAATCGCACTGCTAATGGGAGGTGGTCAGATGCGGTCCCACACACAGAAGCATTGGATGTGTTGTACCAGCTGCAATGGAGAAAGGAGTGGTAAGGATCGATGGGGAGAAGAGTATCAGTGGGTTGGGAAGGGGTGGGGGTACTTGCTTTTATAAGTGTTGTACTGGGGTGCTGCCCACATGATCACACCAAATACCAATAAATTGCAGAACTGTTTTTAAGTAACTTCTACTTCAAGGATAAGCAGTTCATAGTAATGCTCTTGTTCCATTGTACCTTAATCAGCACATATGTGGTGAAGTGAAAAGAGAGTATTTACTGAGGCTTATCTGCAGGAGGCCCTGGAATATGAGCGGTGTGGCTTTC